CCTAACATTTTGTTTCCCTTTAATGTATTTAAAGAAATCCTTACTGTTAATTCTTACATTTTCAGCCAACTTTTTCTCATACATACTATTTGATGTCCTAACTTCCTATTTCACCAACTTTCTTGATCTTCTAAAATCTTCTAAGTCTCCTGTCATACCAGTCAATTTAAATTTCTTAAATTTATGATGCTTTTCTTTAATTTTATTTCTCAAACTCTTTGTGAGCCAACCTAGCTTTTTACTTGTACCTACCCTTTTCTTTCTATTAAGAATATGTTTATCTTTAAAAATTTTCCACATCTGATCAGTGTCTCCAAATAAATCAACTGCCCACTTCACAACATATAACTCTTGTCGCATCCCTTCAAAATTAGCTTTTTCGAAATTTGTAACCAAAATATCATTATTCCTTATCTCCATATGCAGCAAAACATCGAACCTAATAGAGCAATGATCACTTGCACCCAGATGTTCCCCAACTTCCACCCTCTCAATCATTTCTGTGTTTGAAGTTAGCAACAAGTCTAAAATAGCATTGTTTCTTGTTTGTTCCTTAACTAACTAGTGAAGAAAGCCATCCTGAACAGTTTCCAAAAACCTTTCTCCCTCATGGTTTGATTCTAGAATTTCCCAATCTATATACCTGAAATTAAAATCACCCATAATTATGACTTCATTAACAGCTGAGAGTTGTTAAGTTTATGGCTAAGCATGGTATAGTATTTTGTGGGGATAATGAACTCACTGGATCACCAAAAAATGGCAATTACCTCAGTATCCTTAAGTTACTTTCTGAATATGATACATTCCTTGCAGATCATATTCAAAAGCATGCAAACAAAGACACTGGCCATGTAAACTGTCCTCAACCACATATGAAGAAGTTATAAAATTAATGGGTGAGAAAGTTTTGATTACCATTGTTGATCACATCAAGATAATATTCACTATCACTTGACTCCAAACCTGATAATAGCCACACAGACCAAATAACTACACTTTATCTTAATGGAGAACCATGGTCATACAGAACAGCGAATGGCTGATTCCATTTTTGTAATCTCTTGAAGAAATAGATATTAACATTTCATACTGTCATGGACAGTAAAATGACAATGCATCTAACATGAGTGCAAAATATAATGGATTGCAATCCATAATTTGTGAGAAAAATCCACTATCAATATATGTGCCTTGTTGTGCACATTCTATAAACTTAGTTGGGCAGGCTGCAGTTGATTACTATTGCACAGTTGTAGCATTCTTTGATTTTGTGGAACAGTTGTATCATCTTTTTCACAAATTTGACTGTTTGCTATGATATGCTCAAAGCTAAACTAGTCCCAAAAAGATTGCTTATGTCAAAATGCCTCAGTGGTATTCACTGGTCAGTTCATGCAGATGCAACAAAAACAGTAAAATCTGGTTATACTGAGATTCAAGATAGATGTGAATAAAAAAGGATATGTCTGCAACACTGTGACTGCCCTTTATAACACAATGTGTATGTTCAAAAAGAGATATTTTGCTATTTTTTGGTACATTATTTTGGAAAGATTCAACAGTACCAACAAGCAATTGTAAAATGAAAAGATGGATCTTATCATATTGCTGGAATCTCTTGAAACCTTTGTGCAGTCACAGCATGATCGATTTGATGAATTTGAAAAAGATACTGCACATCACTCTTGTGCATCAAATATCATAAGCAAAAGATACAGGTTTGGTGCAGTAATGTTCTTGAATCCACTTGATTATCACCAGGTGTTTAATGTTAAATGGACTTTGATAGAAAGGTTCTGAGCTGTCAGCTTCCTTCCTATAAATGTTGCTTCAGACCTTGTGCAAAAGTATCAACACATATGGTGAGATATGAGAGATTTATTTTTTTGGTCAATTGGATAAACTGACTGATAATGAGATTTGATCAGCTGAAATTAACTTGGTTCAGATATACTCTTCAGACCTAGGAGATTGTCTTCGTTAGGAGGTTTATCAACTTTGTAGAGTAGTTAAACTGTTCAAAGAAGATAATGCTGCTGCTATAGCTCTTCATTAATCTCAACAGTACTCGCATCCATTAGTCTTGTTTTGCAACAGACTATGATATAACCAGGTGTGCCACAGTAGAAGCAGGCCTCCTTCCCTCATGCATTTGGTACCTTCAGTTGTTCCATATGGCCCATGGCAGCTATACCAAGATGCCTCACAGGATATGCTGCAGTGAATCTGATGGTCAGTGCTGTTGTTGAGCCTTGGGAGCCATCATGGATCCTATAGGCTTTCTTAGGGTTGTAATGAACCAATATGCACCTTTCTATAAATATCTAGACATTCTTTTTTAAGTGGGAGTAGACAAGCATCAATGCATGCTTCCATGTTCATCTGCGTAGACTGTAGGAGAGCCATGGCATTCCTTCCATATTTCTGGCAACCACCATTGGGGATTACCAAGCACTCTCTAAATGCTGAATTATCACATTTCTTAACACCTTCTCAATTTGAGCACTGGCAATATCCCTGTTGCTCCAAAGAAGCCTGTGTGGTGCATGTTTTACTGTGCATGTATTTATGTAATAAGTGGCCACATATGCCACTTTGGAATGATAATGACTTCACTCCAGGAATGTTTGACAAAAACAGAGCCAAACAGAAATAAGTAAGTATATAGTTTGATATGACCACTTAAAACCATATTATTATAGAGATTACTTCTACAATAAATGAAGTATTAATGGAGCTTAAAAGGTTTAAAATTAGTTTAACCAATGATCCCTAAATGAACTTATTAATGAGTATCTTATCCCAGTTATCAGACATATGCTTGGTAAAGCCTTCCCATGCAGTATCTTATATTGTCTGCATAAGTGCCCAAGTTCTTATGGGGCCTTCAAGCTTTGAACTCAGCCTTACAGATCTTTCAGTTCTCCACTGGTTCAAATTTAAAGTGCAATTCACTGACTTATGCATTCCACCTATTGAGTTGTTCATCCTCCGGGTGCTCTAGGCATTGGGCATCAGAACATGTAAGCTCGGCAACAAGCATTTCACCACCTCTCCCCGAGTTCCTGAAATGCTTGATGAGAGAAAACTTGTCTTTCATTATTCAATTAACCCTCTCACTACGGGCAGATCAAAGTGTGTATGTCAGAACTTTTTAAGAGTTACTTTCAAAATTTAATTAAATTACTTTATTACCATGATATACGAATAAACTTGGCAGCAAAACATAGTTAATAAAATTTTAATAATATATATAAGTTTTAAGTTCTTAATTTTATAAGGAAATATTTTTAAAAATCCTCAGTCTTCCCTAGTATGAGAATTGTGACATTTGCTTTTTAGATCTTCTCCCTTCTCTAATTTATTTACCACCCCTCCAAGAAGAATGGAATTCAACATAAATTACTTATTATAATATAGTTATTACTCAGGCAAATCATAATTTTCATAGCCTTCCATCTTACTTGTTTTGGGAGCTATTAACAAGAAATTCAGACTCACTTGCCACACCCACCTGTCATATCCTCTCTTTCACAAATTGCCAATAGTTCTCTCTGACATTTAATGCTATGTTATTTACTAGCTGGAGTACCTGTCCTCTGGCTGGAAGTTATGTAAATTCAGAATTAATTTAAGGTTATCTTAGGACACAAAAAGTTGCTTCCCTTATATGTAATTGTAAAAAATGCAAAAACTGTTCATAAAAACTGCAAAACATAAAATGTGAAACTGCAAATTTGAATGTATCTCCCCAATGAACTTCTATATACAATTTGATGAAGATCTATTAACAGGTGGCAAAGTAGTGGTAAAAACTGCAAAAAGCAAAATGTAAAACTGAAAATTTTTATGTATCTCCCCATGGACCTAATGAACCTCCATACCAATTTTGGTGAAGATCCATCCATACCCTGCAAAGTAGTTACATAGACATACAATGGACAAAAGACAGAACTATTATATTTATATAGATAACCAACAGAAAGTCAAAGTTTTAATCTGTCAAATGACATATTATATTACATTGTTTTCTGTACAGACAATTGTCTACTTTCCCTCCAGTGCAAACTTTATTCCCAGGAACTAAAATGTAAAAGTCAGAAACTTATTAGGTTAAATAAGGTAAGATAAAGAAAAATAATAAAAATTTTTCACCAGGTATGCTTGTAAGCAGCTTCTGAGTAGCTTATGTGTTACATAATTCTGTATGGTAATGTGAGCTACACATTTGTCAAGTGATTTACAACTTGTGTAGTGGAATTATTATTTAGACATGGTTCAAATGGCAATAAAAAAGTAAAATTTAAGTAAGCAAGATGTATACTGTTATGAGCTTTAAGCAATTTAGGATAAGCAAATGTAATTTCCTGTTACAATTTGCAGTCATTCTAGAAAGAAAAAAAGGTAATTTAAGTTTAATTCGTATTCTTTTTATGGTGGTTATGAGGTTGATCAAGTTGACCAACCCTGTAAACAGTTAGGGTAGAGAAAATAACATAAAATATAAAGTTTTACTAAAAAAACGTCTGAAATTTACTGAGGAGGTTAAAAGATTATGCAAATGAAACTTGAAAATTTTCAGACGAAGAAATGTATTTTTAATCTTAATATGAAAATCACTTTGCACTTGAAGCAATCAACACTGACTCCAAATATTCACAGAAATTTTTAGTAAAAATACTATATATAAACATTTAATTTTCTGACTATAAAAGACTTATAACCTTTACTGAATGCTTGCAAAATTTCATGACGATACACAAAAGATATTAGAAGTTATAGTATAGCATCTTTTAAGGTTAATTTGAGGTCACAAACTCAGCCAAATTGACTAAGCCCATAATAAGAGAGTTAAACAGTGGCAAAGTTACCTGTTTCACATCATAACCATAACTAAATCAGTACAGACAGGTGTCATCTGCCACCTTCTATATTATTGTGTGGCTGATATATATTTTTCATTTGGGGGAGGATCTTATTTCCTTCTAAAATACAGAAGATGCATACACCTGGAAGAATATAAAGTTATTGGGTTAAATCTGCAGCAGAATGTCACAAGGTATAGGGATACATGTTGCAGTTGCATTTTGCATAGACTTGAGCCACTAGACAACTTCTTGGAGAGTCTTTAGATGTAGTGGATGCAGTTTATTTAAGGAGTTTAAGGGAATGCTTGATAAATATTTGAATAATAAGGGTTAGCTTTGAGTGTTTTATTTTAATTTCAATGTTTATTTGGTGGATGGAATGGCCCAGATAGGCCAGCAAGTCCTCGGTTGTCCTTAAATTATATATAGAGGTATAATAAAGTAAAAAATCAACCAGGCCAGGGTTTAAGTTGAAAATATTTCAAAATTAAGGAAAAGTTTACAATCCTCTTTTCCCATACATTTAAGGTAAGGTTAAAACCACACTTTGCAAAAGATAATTTTAATGAAAATATGTAGACCCATTAAGTATTTCAAACATTGTAGGAACCAAACACAATTGCCACCTAATACATCTTATTCTAGTATTTTGAATTTTGTTCTTAAAAGCTACACTTGAAAATATATGAATTATTCAAATTAATGTTTATTGCACAAAAAAACAATACTCACACTGGAAGCCACAATTTTTGTTTCATGTGTAGAAGTCCCATCACCATTAGATCCTCCATACCAGTCACCATACACTAATCCTTTCTCTAACCACACCAACTGTTCAGAATTGTTGAATACTGGCTGATTTTCATCTTCACTAACATAGATATACATATCCTGAAAATAAAAAAAATCATGTTTTTTGCTAAAAACGTTCATTGACTGGAAGGTACTCTGTAGTTAAATATAAAGCTCTTTAATGAAATGGGGTTATATATATATATATATATATATATATATATTATTCATTCTCAAGTACACTGACTTACATTTCAGATAGTATCAATAAATAAATAGATGTTCAATCATGAAAGATTTTACAAAATAAACCCGATTTCTAATTGAGTTTGGAGTGTGGAATAGAACA